CATGTTAAAAAGATAAAACAAAAAAACAAAAAAAAACAAATGAAAACTACAGACAAAAGTTCATTTTCTCCATCAAGACATTAATTTCTGTAGTTTACTGCTACCAGCAAGCAGAAATATTTCTTCTCCTGATGATGACCATTTTGGTCGAAACTAGTCGCGGAATCTAAATGAAATAATAAAAAAACGAAAGAATATTAATCTACAACCCAGTGTGTCTGAAGATTTTAATTTTTTAATTTTTTTATATATTTTTATATATATATATATTTAAAATATATATATATATGTGTGTGTGTGTGTGTGTGTGTGTGTGTAAAAATTCAGATATAAATAAAATATCTCTGTAAAATATTATTATGAATAAGGATTAAAGAAAAACTCATCTTTACGACGCGTTTCGTCCCCTGGGAGACTTTATCAATATGAATGTAAGGATTTTCTTTTGAGACATGTATAAATAAAGAGAAGTGCGAAATACAGTTTTCGAAATTTTAAACTATGGAAGAGGTTAAGTGATGTAATTTATTATAAAGGCATCTTTCTCATCTGCAATAAGTTGCTTCTTGCCATCATCCATGGAAACGTGTTATTTTAATTTTAATGGCGACTATAAAGACAAGAAATAAGTGTCTCTTCATTCAAGATTACGAACGTTTGTTTTTCGCCTCTACAATAAAGTAGGTACTGTCAAAATTTTCGCTTCTGGAATAAAGTAGGTACTGTCAAAATTCTTGTGTTTTTTTTTTTTTTGTTTTTTCTTTCATTATTGAAAGAAAAATATTCACTGTTATTACAACATCGTTAATGATGATGATGATAATGATTGTAAGGACTTCCGGTCCCACTAACGAATGCCGGAAGCTAAAACGGATCCAGCGGGCAGTTTAAATAAAATACGTTATTGTGTTTGCTACGTGTCTTTTTTTTTTTTTTTGTTTTTGCTTTGACTTTTCAGCCAGCACTTTCACATAATACATCTTTCTACCCTAAGCCAAGTTGAACATTTACTCTTTAAAAAAAGTCACAAATAATCTGAGAATTACACGATTTAAACGACATTTTCGGAACTTAGTTATAAACCTTTACCTTGCTAATTTCTATCTAGAATTGCTTCCCCTGCCACTGAATTTTTTAGAATGCAAAAACACGAACAATTACTGTTTTAAAAGTGTTATAACTAACTTTATCTTGTGCATATAGATTTTAATTTTTGTACACGTCAACCTCATCACTGTCAATATCCACTCGTGTAAAGCCTTCAAAATAATCATCAGAGTCCTAATCAAAGAAAAACTCCTGAATAAAGGTTTTGTTGGATATTGACGTGGCCATTTTTGTTTACAAAAAATCGCGAATTAACGTGGGCTTAATCGATTCTACACCTCGTATAGAATCTAGAAGAATTTAAAATGGCATTGGAAAACGGAATTTCAACCTTGTTCCAAAGCCGTAGTAGGCGATTTCCAGCTTAAAATACCGGAAATAACAGTTGATAAGTGTTTATTTATAGCAACTACCTCAAGGCGACAGAATGCACCTAAAGTAGCAAAGGGAGAGAAATCCGTAGCGACAATTTTCGCCGGTAGCGTGTTAAAGGTTGATGAATGAAGTTTATACTAAATGCGTTAGTTCATGAAGAAACTATATGAGTTTTTGGTTTTCATATTCACATAAGACATTCTTAGACATGTACAATCTATAGCATTCATTACATTCTTCAGTAGACTCACATATCTGTCCTTTCAAGTCTTTCTTCATCTGTGAGGATGTCGTCCATCATTATTTTTAAAGTGGTGTTCATGCTGTAAAAGACCCGTGGGCCACTCGAGGTAGAGTGTTACAGACACAGATTATGTGGATAAGTGCGGAACATAACTGTTAAACCTAAACTTGAAGGGTAAGAGTGTATTGATCAGGGAATCAGCCTTTTGGGAGGCAGTTCGTGTGAAGTTTTTGCTCAAGGGGAACTTATATTTCACCAGGTCATGTTATGAGGATGGTACGTTACAATGGGCGTGACATGGCGGGTCCTAGCCGTGAAGGTTATGCCTTGGGGAACTAAGAAGTGTAGTTCAGGGCAACATTCACCATGACAATAGCAATAGAGCAGTGAGAGATGTCTGACCAGTGTTAAAGGGGGTGCAGGGTAGAAAATCATTTTTCGCGTGTAAGGGAAAGAAGATACTTTTTGTCTCTATCGAGAGTGAGAAATAAAGACTGGGTATCCCTCGACCATATTTTTAAATCATTTCAACCCAATCAAGACGGAAGTGTCACTAGATCGCAGGAGGGTTACAAAGAGCGAAAGTGAGAGAAAACATAGGGGGAAATTGAGATAAAAAAGATGAACGGGATTAAAGTCAATAAAAGATGGCGATTGACGCTGCATTTAAGTTTTTGATATAGTTATCAGGGAAGCAAGTAAACGGAAGGAATTTCCAAGGTGCTAGAAAATAAACTGTTGGAGTAGAAGTGGCGGTTACATTTAAGTATTTGAACAGTAAACGGGTGGGACCTAAATGCCAATCTAGTAAGACACTGAAATCCACGTAGTCGGAGCAGCAGAGAATAAAGCTCATGAGAGCAGTTGCCATGCAAATATTTTTGCAAAATACAGAGGGAAGCCACATCATGACGGTGAGAAAGTGAAGTCGAGATGCCAGGTCGGGATGGATTAAATTGCAGATAATTTTGGATTTATCGTGAACCTGGAGATGAACAGCTGGGGCATCAGACTAGATAGGGTAACAGTATTCAATGCACGGACAAATTGTAGATTTTTAGATGTGTATGATAAACTCTGACGAGAAAAAACTTCTGGCACGACACAAGGAACCAAATTTCCTTGCAGTAGATGCAGCTAATGATTCAATGTAGTTGTTCCACCTCAAGTCAGTCGAAAACGTTAGGCTAAGAAGGCGCAGTAAGACACTCTCGCGGAGTCAAGCATTAATCATGTTGATGGCGGACAGGGAAATTTCTCTGTGGTGGTTAAATGAGAGTAGTTTAATTTTGGAGGAATTAAGTCTTTTCCTGCTCAGGTTAACCACTGATTGGGGATCTTTTTCGTGATATAAGGCAGAAGTTCTCCCTTTTCGGCCTGCTCTGGCTCTTGTAAAGTTAGAGGATGGCATGAGGTACGATGTACTTGTTGGAGTGATACAAAGAACTTTCTATTTTCCTAGGAATCTTTAGCGATGGATCGTTTGTATGAGTTCTACCTGAAGTACGAGTTGGGGTGTAAATCCCAATAGGCGCTCACGGATCGGGGACTGCCTGAGGGAATACCCGTTCATCAAGATTGGGGAAAGTTCAGCGTCCGATCGAGAAAGGGTGAAAGGTCATTGGTTTGGTCTTAAAGTATTGTATGTAAACAGGAACGTTTTTAAAGGTTATTATTACACAGAAATTCATCACATTTTTAATTGTTTAAAACGATATATTTTAATAATTTGTCGAAGGCATCTTTTGCGTTTTCTTAGGCGTCTTTGAAATTCTGTTGCTAAATTTCTACAACTGCTTGGCAAGAATCTACAATTCTGGCCAGAAATAGTTGTAAAAAGGTTATCGTTAAAAAAATAATTTTTATCGTTTTTCCTATCTCTTAATAATTTTCTTAATTTCTCGAAGACATCTTTCGTATATCCTTTTGTCCCTTTTAAATTTTGTTCCTAAATTTCTATAACCCCTTGGTAAGAATGTATAATTCTAGTCAGAAATAGTTGTAAATATCATTATCGTTAAGTCTTATCGTATTATTTTTTTTTTGATAAAACAAGCAAAGGTTTGTTCGTTTTTTCTTAAAACAGTAAAAACAAGCTAGTGTAAAATATGTTTAAATAAAACTTTAAATAAAACTGAATTATACAAGTTAATTCAGAGGGATTCAAAATTTTACAATTTTATTGCAATAAGAATAATATTTTTGTGTTTTTTTTGTGTAATTTTTATATCAACTTGATTGGAAAATTTTCACCTCCTTAAGTTAAAAAATGTTTTAGATTTTATTCTGTTACTTTTTCAGCAAACAGCCTTTATTGTTTTTATTTCTATTTTTGGAAATGTTTTCTTTTTTTGTTTATTTTTTGCAAAGAAGAGATTCCTTTCTTTATGCGCCAACTTTCCTGCCTCCATCTTTGTAATTCTCTTTTGAAAGCAACAAAAGCCGGCTAAACAAATCGTTACACGTTGAAAAAACAAATTCAAAGAGACGGTTCCTGGCAAGGTCTCCCTGATGGATTAAGTGTTTTTACCCAAGTGACAGCGTCTGTTAGGGACATTTTTGTGCCTGCTATTTGATGTACAGCTCTCCCTTAAAAAAGGCGGGAAAACAAAAGATAGGACTTGCGTTTTCAAATGGTCTTTGTTATTTTGTTTGTTTTAATTTGTTGCTTTCCGAATTTTTTTTGTTTTTTTTTTGTTTTTTTTGTTATTAGAATTGAAAAAAAGATTAAATCTTTTTACAGATTTTAAGGTAATTTATATTTTCAATGTTTTTTAAACTTTATTTTCATATATGGTTTTGTTTATTTTCCTGCGAGTTTGAAATTTGGTGCCAGTTTAATCTATTTTCACTTTTGACTGGGAGATTCAATAATTAAAGGAGTCTTTAAATAGATAGAAAGAGAAAAATAGACAGAGAGAGAGAAAGAGAGAAAGAGAGAGTGATGAACAAACTGGGATAGATAAAAAAAAGAAAGAAAGAACCTTAGATAGATAGATAGATAGATAGATAGATAGATAGATAGATAGATAGATAGATTACCAATGTGAAATAGACAGATAAATAGATAGATACAAAGGAACGAGATGAGACAGGAAGGCAGATAGATAGATAGATAGATAGATAGATAGATAGATAGATAGATGAACAAAATGAGATAGATAAATAGATAGATACAAAGAAACTAGCTGAGCCAGGCAGGCAGGCAGCCAGACAGATGCATAATATACTGAGATATCTAGCTATCTAGCTAGCTAACTAGCTAGCTAGCTAGCTAGATAGATAGATAGATAGAAAGAAAGAAAGAAAGAAAGAAAGAAAGAAAGAAAGAAAGAAAGACAGAGAGAAACAAGCTTAGATAGATAGATAGATAGATAGATAGATAGATAGATAGATAGATAGATAGATAGATAGAAAATGAACAGGCCGAGATAGATAGATAGATAGATAGATAGATAGATAGATAGATAGATAGATAGATAGATAGATAGAAAAAACAATCTGAGGTAGATAAGAAACTGAGATAGATAGATAAACAAAGTGATAGATAAATAGAAACAAACTGATATAGATAGATAGATAGATAGATCTGAATATGCAGAGAAAGATAGATACATACATACATGCATTCATGCATACATAGATAGATGAACAAAATAGATATGAATAGACTGATATAAATAGATAGATAAGATATGAATAGACTGATATAAATAGATAGATAGATAGATAGATAGATAGATAGATAGATAGATAGATAGATAGATAGATAGATATGAATAGACAGAGATAGATAGATAGATAGATAGATAGATAGATAGATAGATATGAATAGACAGAGATAAATAGATAGATAGATAGCAGGTAAAGAAAGAAATAATGAAGTAGAGAGATAAAAATATATTGTTAGAAAACAAAGCTAAACATATTAAAATGGAGGTAAAGTATACACTGACCGTGATAGAAAAGGAAGAACAATGGAAAGAATGAAACAGAAAAAAAATGACAGATATTCATGTTTTATAAAATGAAAGAACGAATAAATAAATACATTTTTTTTTCATTCGAATGTGTCTAGGCCTATTGCTTAGCCGATTTTCTATACTTACCTTCAGTCAGTTATGTTCCATACGTGATACATGCTTAGATGATCTCATATCATTCGATACATGACTGACGACGCAGATTTTTCCCGCCGTAGTTTGCCATTTCCCGCGGTAGACAAGTTGCCATCCAAGGCTATAGAACACAGTCTGTCCCTGCTATTTACCCATAGCTGGTTGGAGATGGAGAAGATTCATACCTTTCCCAAGTAAGTCAGTTATGTGCCATGCGTGAAACACGATTAGGCGATCATATATCTTTCGATACATGAATGAGGATGCAGATTTTTTCCCGCAGTAGGTTGCCATTTCTTTCTGCGGTAGACAAGTTGCCATCCAAGGCTATAGAACCCGGTATGTCCTTCTATTTAGCCATAGCTGAGGGGAAAAGAAGAGGGTTTATACCTTTCTGAAGGGTATTACCACATTAGTGAACGTAGTGGATTCGACTGGAAAGTCAATCAGACGATTAGGTGCCAGGCGTGAGACTCGATTAGGCGATCATGTATCTTTCGATACATAATTGACGAGGCAGTTTTTTTTCCGCAGTAGTTTGTCATTTTTTCTGCGGTAGATCATTTGCCATCCAAGGCTATAGAACCCGGACTGCTGTGCAATTTACCCATAGCTGTTGGGTGGAGAGAAGAAGAGGATTCATACCTTTCACATGTAATGTATTCGACTGGAATTTGAACCTAGCTTATACATTTTTATTCCTATTTTATTCTATTTATATATATATATATATATATATATATATATATATATATATATATATTTATTATTAACATGTATGACAGAGTGGAAAATTTTTCGTGTGACGCGTTTCGTGCTTTTTTAGGACATCTTCAGACAAAATTCATTGTTACGCTGTTGTGACTGTACGAAGGAAAGAAAGAACGCAGAGAAAATTTATATTTATTTCTTTTTTTTTTTTGCAGGTAATATCCGATTTCATTTAGATTATTTTTCTTTTTGTTTATGTTTCCATAACCTTCCTTACACCCCAGACAACAACCCCCTTGATTATTATGTGTGGGGTGCAGTTGAGCGAGAGACCAACAAAACTCCTTGTGACAGCGAATATGAAGTAAAGGCAACGTTTAGGGCATTATTCACCAACTTAAAAAAAGGTGACCGTCCAGAAGAGTTGCAGGAGATTCCGAATTCGTCTGGAGGCCGTGGTTGATGCCAATGGCGATTTTATTGAATAAATTTACTCTTTAATATTTTAAGATAAATTTGCGTAATGTAAAATAAGTTATGTCAGTGTCGTTTTCATTTTTGCGTAATTTAGACGACAATATATCCATCGCACCTGCCCGAAATATATCGGTTTTAGCAATAAATTATCTGTTGAATTTAAAAGTTTTTATTCTTATTAATTCGACTTCACGAATGGAATCAAGCGTTTTTACAATTAAGTAGATATTTCGCTTACTATTGTTTATCTAATACAAGTTACTTTTGATGAATAAAATTCTTTTTTTGGCTACTTCGATGAATAAAATCACATTACACTTTACATCTATTTTGCCACCTAACACCCTGGATTATTATGTGTGGGTCGAAATTGGGCGAGTAACCAAGTAAATCCTTGTAACACCTAAGACAAGGATTATGGCAGGATTTACCAAAGTAAACAAGGAGATCGCCCAGAAGAGACGTAGAAGTTTCCATAGTTGTTTGGAGTTCTTGGTCGAAGCTAATTTTATTGAAATAAATTTACTGCTTAGTATTTTAAGATATTGTTGTGTGATTTTGGTAAATATATCTGCTAAAATGAGATGTCAGCGTTATTTTCATTTTTGCATGATCTAGACAATTTATCCATATATATATATATATATATATATATATATATATATATATAAATGAATAAATATACATAAATGTGTGTTCAATTGTTCACATACAAACACACGTATATATCCTTTTGTGTAAAAAAAGCAGTGCTCAATGCCAAATAACTGGGCTATTAAATATATATTAATAAAAATACATAATATCCCACGCCGATAATATGTGATTTTCATGTCTCTTTTCATGTCTCGTGCAATCGTCAAGATCACCATGAGCTGAAGATTGTTCTAGGAATAGAACTTCATTATATATATATATATATATATATATATATATATATATATATATATATATATATATATATATATATATACTTAAATGCCTATAATTGATAACAGAAGCCATTGGATTATACCAACGGCTCCCTATATTTAAAACTTCTCGTTCTCACTCTGGCGTGGTCATCTGTGATGTCATAGTCCGCAGTGCGATTTTCGCTTCCTGCGTCTCGTATGCATGAGTTTGTCGTTGCTTGGAAATCTTCCATGCAAACAAAACAGACTATCATTGTTGCTATGTCCGTGTATTGTATAATTTATTATAATGGACTTGTCATCTCTGATGATGGCTTACGTAAGCCGAAAGCTTAGATAGTATTAAAAAACATGTATCAATATGGTGATTTTCGTTCATCTTTCAATGATAATGTTATTAAGCTTATCAGACGATATTAAAGGAATTTGATTAAAATAAATCGACAAAACTTGTCTATATTATTTAATGAAATATACATTAATATATATATGAAATGGACAAAGTCCGACAATTATTTTAAGATATTTTTATGTCTTAAAATAATTGTCGGACTTTGCCCATTTCATAATGTGTGGCGTCATTTGTTTGCATTTGATACGCCATGAGCAGATATGAATGTACGTGAGAGATTCATGGAAGATTGAAGTTTAAATACAGTAAATTCGACCTTGCTAAGGCGAACGCGCCTCTGTGGCCAAATCGGTAAAGATACGTGAAAGACTGTTCCTTATATGATACAGGTTCGAATCCTGTCGGAGGACGAATATTCTCTGTGAAAATTTCTCAGACATTCAGTCCGGTAAATGTTGTTTAATACTTTTTATTATAAACAGAGTATTTACTTAACTATTTGTATCTATAAAAAAAAAATTAAATAAACATAAAAATGTCTTAAATTAATTACCATATATATGTCCAAATGCAACAGAACGAAAAGAATATAAATTTAAACGTTCATCACATTATTTTAAAAAAACGACTCAATACAAGAAGTAGAGCAATATATATTTATTATAAACTGTTATATTGGAACATGCAAGTTACCGCGACAAAAATACATATTTTTTCGACGTCCATAGTTTATATTCTAATTTATGATATAAGTTAATATAGTTAAGTAGTTGTTTTATTTGTATAGGTTTTTTCTTTTTAAAGTGTCTTTTATTTACGTACTATGTTTAATTTTGTTTGAATATTTGATTTCATTCAAAATGTCATAATGTTTGAATTGTTACGTTGTGTCTGTAATATGTTTCGTATCACGCCGCGTTATATTTCCGTTGAGTTTTGAATTTTCCATCTTTGCATGTTTTCATTGGCTAAATCTGATATCAACAAATTCTCATTTCTTATTTTCTTCTTTTTCCTTTTCATTTGTATCTGTAAATTTTGGATATACTCCTCTGTTTTTTTCTTTTCTTTTCTTTCCGTTTTCTTTTTATTGATTTCTTATTTTCTTTCCTTTTTTTAATTTAATTGGCATTTTTCTTTCTTTTCTCTTTGATGGAATGAATATATATATATATATATATATATATATATATATATATATATATATATATTCCAAAGACGTCTCGTCAGGCGGGTAACAATGGAGAAAATTTCCATGGAATTACCTTCCATGGAAATTTTTCAAAATGTAAAAGAAGGAAGTTTCATAAATCGTATATTACCACCATTGTTACCTGCCTGACGAGACGTCTATGGACGTCGAAACAAATATGCATTTTTCGTGGTAACTTGCATGTTCCAATGTAACAGTTTATTATATATATATATATATATATATATATATATATATATATATATATATATATATTGTAATTATGTTTTTTTTAATATAATTCCATCCAGACACAGAAATTTCTATATTTCAAAACAGAAATTAAAACTGTAAATTTAATTATAAAAATTAAACTTAAAATCCATAGTTTCGTTCCATTGTCAAGCGATGCTAGGTATAACTTTCTGAGAAATTTACTTAATTTATAACGCAATCTTAATAGCTTGAGTTGTTAAGGTTAAGCAAAATTCAATCTGTTTTGATTAGGGGTGGTTGGGTTTTAATTTTCCTAGACAACTTATGTATCAAATATATGTTATTTACAAAGTCAGGTTAAGTTTAGATGGTGTCGGGGGTGCCTGCTCACAAAAATAGACGTTCGTTATTCAGCTTGTCGCTTGGGTTTTCAATGACAATTGAGCTATTCCGTCATGAATCTAGCTACTGTCCAGACTCGACGTTGCTTAACTTCTGTAATTGTACTGGAACCAGTGTTTCAACGAGATGTGGCCGTGAGCCTTTCATGTGAGGCACTTAAATACCTTTCTTTATTAAGTGATTTCAGCTTTGCCGTCGCCGTATTTGTCGCTCCTTATCTTTTCCTTCCGACAGATATTTACATTTCGCTGTCATTAAACATATTTTTTTAACAGGAAAAGTTATTGAGCAAACAGCGATTTATTTAATACCGAGAGTAATCAGTGAGTCATAGATATCATTGAAAGTCTAAAAAGAATAAAGGGATAAGATTAATTAAACGCTTCATTGGCTTCTATTTTAGTTGTGAATACTTTATCTCTGTTTTATTGAATCTCAAGACATTGTTTCAAGACTTTGTTTAATTGCATCTCACTATTAAAACTATCTAACAATTGCCGTCATTTTTAACGACACGGGTACACTATTTGTTTTGTTTTATTTTTTACAATGGTGTTCATTCCGTAAAAGGCCTGGGGTTACAAACTAAGAGGTACAGCTTATACGAATATATGTGGGTGATAACGGTTTACCGT